CAAGCCCTAAATGGAAAAAAAAAGGTTTGAGTTCAAACCACACAGAGACTTGCTAGAACTGGGTGAGTAAAGAAGGTGCAGATAGGAGACCAGAGACAAGGACTGTATTGTGCAGGTGAATTGCTATGATGTTATTCTAGGTATGCTTGGCAGCCGTTCAAGGGATTTGAGCATAGGCATATCCAAGCATATCTAAGCTTCTATTTGAAACTCTGGTTGGAAAAAACAAGGAAATAAAGGGTCTGGGAACTGGTGGCCCATGCCCATAATCCTAGCTACCCAGGAGGCTGAGATCAGAAGAATTGCAGTTCAAAGCCAGCCTGGGCAGGAAAGTCCAAGAGACTTTACCTCCAAAATCGCCAGGGAAAAAATGGACCAGAGGCATGGCTTAAATGGTAAAGTATCAGCTGTGAATGAAAAAGCTAAGGGACAGTGCTCTGGGCCCACAGCACAAGCCTGGTATTGGCCAAAAAAAAGAAATCCATCCCAAAGTAATCAGGAATTACAACAGGTAGTCCACGAGCACACCTTGCCTCCAAAATTGTTTTGTATGAGCACTTTTTTTTGTCAGTTGCGAGGCTTGAACTCTGGGCCTGGGACTGTTCCTGAGCTCTTCAACTCAAGGCAAGTGCTCTACCACTTGAGCCACAGCGCCACTTCCAGTTTTCTGGTGGTTTATTGGAGATGAGTCTCATGGACTTTCCCACTTGGGCTGGCTTTAAACAGCAATCTTCAAATCTCAGCCTCTTGAGCAGCTAGGATTACAGGCATGAGCCACCAGCGCCCAGCTTCATCAGTACCTCACATAATAGTTGTTAAAAATTTCAATCACTTGTCCATATTTAACACTGGAAACTTTGCCTTAAAATGCGTGTTTCTGACTCCTCTTGGAAAATGGAAAGCTCTGGTCATACTGGCCCTACGTGCTTGTCCACTAGTGAATGACTGATGCTGAATGGGCACTGCCCACTTTGTGAGCATGGGAGTATGTGCTGTCCAATGTGCCTCATACTCTGCCACTCACCTTGGTCTGTCTTACTCTAGGCCAAGTTTGAGTCTCCACCTACCACCCCAACTTAGTGTTGTAGCTTTGTTTGCTTTTGGAGTAGAGTCAAACAAAAAGAAACTTTCTTGTACTCATGATTCCAAGTAGGAAAATGAATAGTGCATCAAGAATGCTCCATAAGTCTTACCCCAATTTGCTTTCCTCTCATTTAGTTTGTTCTCAGATTTTCTAGTCATTCAGGTTTGCTTCCTCTGATCTAAACCCCTTGTCTCCCCAGGCCTTTAGAATTTTCTCAGGCTGCCACCCACCACTGGAAAAGCTGGACTTCAAGGGGAAACAATAGGCATTATTTAGGCTTACATTTATATTGTTACCCAAATTCAATATTGCTCATCATCAACTTTTGGTGAAAATTATTTCTGTTGTTTTTCTTAATTGCCTCCAAATGTAACTAGAGAGTAGGTCAGGCAACAGAAAATACAGCACCCAACTTTCCTTTCTATGATCATGTGTTGTTGGAACACAGTGATGTGGAATTTTGTCCCTCCATGTATTTACTCATTCCTCAAGCTCTGGCTGTGCTGACAGATGGAAGGATCCTTGCTTCAGCAGCAGGATCTGCTGAGGATTGACCTCAGCACAGGCAATTACACAAGCAAAAGGCAAGAGTGGAATGCATGGTTGGGGCCCCTCTGAACTGAGGAGTTGGACTTCATTCACAGGTGGTCAGGAGCTACAGGAAGTTTTCTGGCAGCAGTTGTCAGGAGTCAGCTCCAGAACCAGAAACACAGGTGGATGAGGCTGCTTCAGTGATCCAAGTAATCAATTATATGGCTAAGGCAGAGACAGAAATGAGGGGACAGATTTCAGAGACAGCTTGAAGTTAGGCTTAGCAAATCTAAAGGTGTGAAAAGGTTATGAGTCAAGAGACAAAGTGCTGGGTGCTTGTGGCTCACACCTGAAATCTTAGTTACTCAGGAGGGTGAGATATAAGAATCACAGTTCAAAGCCAACCCAGACAGGAAAGTTCATGACATGCTCATTGTCTATTAGCCAGCAAAAGAGCTAGAATGGGAGCTGGGGCTCAAGTGATAAAGTGCTAGCTTTGAGCAAAAGATAGGAAGAATCAAAGATGGTCCAGAAGTTTTGAGTTTAAGGGTTTCAAACACTGAAAACAGAGGTGGAAAAAAGTACTAAATTGGACCTCACTGAAACTAAATTTTGCTTTCTCTTGTTAGTAAAATAGATATATAACTTGGGCTGGGAAGGTGGCTCAGTGGTAGAGCGCTTGCCTTGCATGCATGAGGCCCTGGGTTCGATTTCTCAGCACCACATAAGCAGAAAAAAAGCCGGAAGTGGCGCTGTGGCTTAAGTGGTGGAGCGCTAGCCTTGAGCTGAAGAGCTGAGGGACAGCGCCCAGGCCCAGAGTTCAGGCCCCATGACCGGACCCCCCCCAAAAAAAATAGAGAAATAACTTATGTACTAACATAAAATATTTGCAAGTTATACACCTAACAGAAGATATATCTCAAACCAAAGCTCTCCAAAATCAACATTTCTAAAAATTCCAGATTAAAAAATGGACAACAGACTAAGAATATGAAGATAGAAAATAAACACATACAAGGCATTTGACATTGGGCTGGAGAGTGTAGCGTGTAGCTCAAGTGGCCTTGCAAGCTTGAGGCTCTGAGTTCAATCCTTGACACTGACGGGGGGGGGGGGGGAAGAATAGAAAGATGTTCAACATCCCTATATAATTAGAAGAGTGCAAATGGAGAGCTCAGTGAGACAAGACATCACTATGCCCTGACTAGAACAGACAAAACAAACAGCACCAAATGCTGCCAAGGTTGTTGAAAAATGAGATTCCTCATACATCGCTGATGGGACTATAAATGACAATGACTCTGGAAAACATGTTGACAGTTTGTTATAAAAATAAACATGCAAGCCAGGCACCAGTGGCTCATACCTGTAATCTTAGCTACCCAGGAGGCTGAGATCCAGAGATCATAGTTCAAAGCCAGCCCAGGGAAGAAATTTCAACAAGGCTCTAAGTCCAAAAATAACCAGCAGCTGGTCACCTGTGAGTCATGCCTGTAATCCTAGCTACTCAGGAGGTAGAGATCTGAGGATTACGGTACAAAACAATCTCAAGCAGGAAGGTCTGTGAGACTCTTACCTCCATTTAACCAGCAAAAAGCTGCAACTGGAGCTGTGGTTCATGTGATAGAGTGTGAGTCTTGATCACAGAAGCTCAGAGACATGCCCAGGCCCCAAATTCAAGGCCTAGAACTGGCACACATACACACAAAAAAAGTTCATGAAGCCAGGCACTGGTGACTCACGCCTGTAATCCTAGCTACTCAGGAGGCTGAGATCTGAGGATCTTGGCTCAAAGCCAGCCTGGGCAGGAAAGTCTGTGAGACTCTTATCGCCAACAAAAACCACTAGAAAACCGGAAGTGGCATTGTAGCTCAAGCGGTACAGTGCTTGCCTTGAGCTGAAGAGCTGAGGGACAGCGCCCAAGCCCAGAGTTCAAGCCCCACGACCGACCAAAAAAAAAGTTCATGAGACTTTATCTCAATCAGTGGTTGGGCACACACCTATTATCCCAGCTGGGTATAGTGACAGGAACCTCTCATCCTTAGTGACATGGGGATCACAGCCCAGGCCAATCTAGACAGAAAGTGAGACTCTGCCTCATAAAAAGGAGCGGAAGAGAGTAGTTATAGAGGGGCTGAGATTGATTAGAACATGTTATATGCTATATACTATATAACTAATGTAAACCAGTAAACAAGAGAATGTGGCTTTAGCGGCCTACCTTGCAAGTGTAAGTCCCTGAGATAAATCCTCAGTACCATCAAAAAAAATCACAGATCTGCATGCACACACGTACACGTGTGCACACACACACACATACACATATCAATGTTACTAGGGATTAAGTAAAAAAGTTAAAATCTTGGGGCTGAAAGTGTATCTGAGTGGGAGAGCACTTGCTTGCCTAGCATATTTTAGGCCTCATGTTTGTACCCCAACACCACAATAAAATATAAATAAATTTATTTTAAAAGTTACAGTAGAGGGCTAAAGAAGTAGCTCAATGGTAGAACACTTGCCAAGCATGTACAAGTATATGAGACCCTGAATTCAGTTCCCAGCACAATAAATAAATGGTTTGTTTCTGATTGGATTCTTCTTTCCTTCCTTTCTTACATTCACCTATTCACTCAGCTATTTGCTGATACATTTACTATGTAAGAGACACTGTGCCACACTTTACAGATCAACAGAAAGTAGGACAGCCCAGGTCCCTGCTCTGTTTAGAAGATTTCAGAGGAGTGAGCAGTAGAGTTTGGAGGCCAATAGTTTACTTGGGGAAATGGGGCAAGGAAAAGACTGCCAGGGACCAAGTGAGCAAACTTTTCATTCTTAGAGCCCAGTTCTATAGAATTGAAAGTGTCTCCCCTTTCCTAAAAAGCTCTGAAGGCAATAAAAGGTCCTTACTCCATACTTCACAGGTACTCACAAAAACTAAACTACCAGGCAGATTGTGCCCTGCAAAGAGGGAAAAGGGAGAATAAAGGGAAATTGGATGTGGCTAACTAAACTATGAAAAAGCATTGTCTGAATGTTCATGCACGTAATTGGGGGATGCTTAAAACAACCATTTGTTTAGCTCATAACTCTGGATTGGTGACAAACCTAGGCTCAGCTGAGTGGTTCTTCTGGTTTGGGCCATACTCACCCAGTATCTACAATCAGCTGGCTATCAAAAGCTCACTTATCTGTTGGTTGCTGGAATGATAGGGGTACCTGGTACTTTGTCTCTCATCATCCAGCAGGCTAGCCTGGGCTTGTTCACACAGTGGGGTCACAGGGTTCCCAAATGCAAACACTTTCTTTTCTTTCTCAGAGCTTTATTGAATTGTATAATTCATATATATCACCTGAATTCAAATTCTGTTTTCTCTCCTGTTTGCAGGCAATCTGAAGCATGTGGTCTAATTGACAAAAAGAGATCAGATTTCCAGAGCTGAGAAGCAGTGCCTGTAATGAAGACAGTGTGTTTATGTGAGCAGTTTGTGGAATTTGTGACTGCAGGGGAAGTTTGGAAGAAATTACTTCCTGAAAATTTCCAAGTGGTACCAAGTGGCAACTGGCCTCCTGGGGTGAAGAGGCAGGCACCCTAGAGTCCTCAACTAGACCTAGGGGAAGAGGGAGATATTCAACATTTAAAAGTGTTTATTTTTTTTAATACACATTTTTAATCTCTGGAGATTATTTTTGAGTAAGTTGGGGAAGGGGTATTTTTTATTTTCTTAAAGGAGACAGACAAAATGCTGGAGGATAGTACAGAATTTGCTGATCACCAGTTTCTTGGTTGAGAGGCACTGGATAGGAACAGTTACCGACAGGAACAGTTATGACATCAGGATCATCCAGGTAGAACCTGGAGGAGGGGGGACCAATTATGAGTGGGAGGTAAGGAAGAAGCCCACAGGTGGTGTTTTAGGATTCTGAATTTATGTTGTTTATTAATAAAATATTTGAAAACTTACCTCTTGTTCCCATTGTCCTTGTTATAAACTGCCACTGACTGTACACACAGTTCTGAACATTTCCTCTCACTGAAGTATTTAACATAATCCTGCAGCTTTCATGCTGTGCTCTGACCCAGCCTGGGGGGGGGGCTCACCCTGAGTGCTGGACCCCCTGGAAAACTAATATGTCCCTAGCCCAATTCCTTTGGACAGAAGGCAAGCTCTACCATGCGGTCTAGCCATAGGAAAGAAGGTACATGAATACAGGCTCTGCAACCATGGAGAGGGTCTTGCTAGAACCCTGGAGGAGTGCCTTTTCCAGTAAAAGATTTAGGGATGGATAGAGCAGGTTGGCATGTCAGCTCTCAAAGGGGACATTTCCATGGTTAGAGAGGATGCTTCCTAGTAATTATTGTCAGTATACATGATGAAAAGGGGACATGGCCCAAATGGTTGTTGTCATCATCCTGGAAGATAACAAATGAGGATTAAAAATTATGAGAGATGAGGTCAAGGAAGGGACAACCGCATGTAATGATTTTATAACTTGGTTTACCAAATATTTATGAAACTCTTTCAACTGCTGGAAGACAGGGGCACAGCTCGTCCTGGCCAGCTAGGAATTTCCAGACAAGCCAAAGGAGGAGGGAAAGAAGCAGGTCCCAGCTTGTTTGAACTATGTTTGCAACACAAACAGAGGTTAAGGGAGCACTGAACAGGGAGCAAATCACCCCATGGAACAGGCATCTCAGAGAGTTTCTGAGGGGTGATATTTGAGCCAGCCTTGCGGGGAATGACTTGTACTTCTCCAGGCCCCTAAGCCAGTGGGGGAAGGGCATTCCATAGAAGGAAATGGGGGAAAGGCTGGAATGTGCTCTGGGATGGGAATAGTCAATCTCATTAAACAGAGAGGTATGCCTGGTGGGCTAGGAACACTAGTCACTTCAAATGCCCATAATTCTCATTACACATTCTCAGCTTAAGTGCAGTTTCACTCATACCAAAAAGAAAGAGTTTTTTGTTTTTTAAATCAAAGAGTAAGGAAGCATCAAATGGCTAGTGCAGAGTTGGGGAAAGGCCAGGGAAAACAGCAAGTAAACAATCTCCAACTACCAGCTTGCAAGAACCTAGACAGAACTCTGGGAAGAACTCACCCTCGAAGTAATTGCTCAAATCTCTGTGAAGGCCTAAACCCTAGAAGCAGCCACATGACAAAGATTGATGGCCAATTGGTGCCCCATGTTCCTTTCGATGGGAATGGATCTGAGCAAGGATGTGCCACAAGTGGTGGAGAGTGGCAAAAGGTCCCTGGCACTAGGAGAGCCCTTTGCTGAGTGGCTGATACCACCTTCACCTAGCCAAGGTATCAGTGCCTAGCAGTGAATCACTCCAGCCTCAGCTCTGGCCCAATAAGAACTAAAAATAAGCTGTAGAACAACCTACTTACTGCCTAGCTTCTATAAACTGGTCCTGCTTGTCAGAGACGGCACCACGTGGGCCTTAAGGATTACTGTTCATTTGATTTTTTGTGAGAAATGCTGGCCCAGGAGTGCAGCTCAGTGATAGGACATTTGCCTAAAATGTACAAGGCCCTGGGTTCCATTTCTAGCACAGAAAAAAAGGAAGAGAGGGAACGAAAGAGGGAAGAAAGAAGGGTGAGAAAGAGAAAGGGAAGATGGGAGGGAGGGAGAAGTGAGGGAAAGAAAAGGAAGGAAGAAAGGAAAGAAAAAGAAGGGAAGAAGGAAAGAAAAGGAAGGAAAGAGAAAAATGGAGGGAAAGAAAGAAGGAAAAAATGCTAAGCTAAAAGTCATAGGTAAAAGGTGGAATCCTTTGAAGTACTTAAAATTTAAATTAAAATACCCCAAAGGCAAGCACAGCATCCACAAAACCAGCATGACAGATTCAGAATTGTTCTGCCCAGAATTATGACAAATGTATAGGGGATAAAATTAAGACTGAAGGAAACACACCAAAATATAACTGAGGCGGGCTTTTGTGGAGAAAGAAAGTAAAAAAGATGATTTCTTTTTTTTTCTTCTATTTTTCAGTAGTTTCCAAAATTTCTTTACTGTACATGTTTTACTTTTATATTAGGAGTAAAAAAAAAAAGCTCAGTGGTATATAGAGGCCTGGGCTCCATCCTTAGTACCAAAAAAAAAAGGAGTAATAAATGAACTTTAAAAAACATTGATTTGCAGAGATGGTTACAGATCAAAGTCAGTGCAAGACACCCACATAGGAAGACCTTGTGCTCAGGCCCCAGGGCTGTTCTAATTGCCCAAGAGGCTCTGAGCTGGCCTGGTCAGCTTGAAGTCCTCATGATTTACAAATCACTAAGCCTGAGAGAGCTTTTGGAAGAAACTGGCTTAAGGGCAAGGCAAGTTTGTACCCATTGTGAGCCTGTCTTTTGCTCTGGAAACAGTTGCCAGCCACCACCCTCCACCCCCTCTGACTTCTCCCCTATGCCAGCAAAGGAGCAGCTCAAAGCCCCTAATTACAATTGTGAGGCAAGTGCTGGAATGTGCCCCTTTTTTACAGGTAATTTTCACTTAAATATGTCACTTTACATCGTGCTGGATGGGTATTGGCATCCGTACTTGAAAGGAGAGGGAACTGAGCCCCCAAACTAGAGATCCTTTGCCCAATTGTAACTGGTATGGCAAGGCAGAACAATCCTATCTAGAACCTGCAAGTCCCCTTACTTTACCCTGCCCTCCATTACTGCTATTAGTATATTTTTTAATAGGCTATGGAATCAACAACTTTTGTTTCCAAAGTCCAAGCTAGACCAAACCACACACTGCTCCTGGGCCCTCACCCTACAATGACAACACTAATTAGTTGTGTCTTTTCAGCAGGTTTTTTTAGCCTTTCTGAGTTGGTTTCCTTACACAGAAAATGGGGCAATAATTCTTGCACTCTCATAGGCTATTGTGAGTGGTTGATGACTTAGCAAAGATGGAAGACCTTTGAAAAGAGCTTCAAGTGTTGTGTTCAGCAGGATCTGCCAAGAAAATAGCCCAAGAAAGGCTTATCACTGAGAAGAATCCAGTGCTTCCAGGAGACCCCCACCCCTCCCAGCCTGCACCATTTCCAAGGCTCTCACAAGGGCCAGAGAAAAAACAAAAACAAACAACAACAAAAAAACAGGCTGCATTTACAACCTGAAGGTTTAAAAAAATCTGAAAAAGAAGACCCAGAACTGGGCACTGGTGGCTCATGCTTTTAATCCTAGCTACTCAGGAGGCTGAGATCTGAGGATTGCTGTTCAAAGCCAGCCTGGACAGGAAAGTCCATGAGATTCTTATGTCTAATTAACCAGAAAAAGCCAATAGTGGAGCTGTGGCTCAAGTAGTAGAGCACCAACCTTGAGTGAAAAAGCTCAAGGATGGAACCCAGACCCTGAGTCTGAGCTCCTGGACCTGAACAACCAAAGAAAAATACACAAGGCTATATCTAATATGTGTATATATACATGTATATATATTATATAGCATATTGTATAATATTAACTACATAATACTATGAAGCATAACTTACTGTGTAATAGCAATGTAATTATGTACTTATATAATAATTATATAATATACTATATACAATATTATATATGGTAGATATGCATGTATTTGCATAAATACACAAGAAACTGGGATACAGTGGTTACCTCCAGACAAGGGAACCAGGTGGCAAGTAGAAGGTGAGTGAGGGAGAATTGCACTGTGTTTCTTTTTGTACCTTTTGATTTTTGAACTGTGTAGAAATATTACCAGGTTCTCCAAAAAGTAAAAAAATGATATTTAAAAAGAAAAAAAACTATGGAAAATTCCCATACCAGTTTACCTTTGGAGAGGGTAGCTGTCATAGAGAGCAGTATATTTTCAATTCTATATTTTAAAGACCCTTTCTAAGTTAAAGTCATTATTAGGAAATCAATTATTGTTATTCAATAAGAAAAACAGAAGGAAAAAAAGGAGAAAGAATAGAACACAAAAGAAGACAAGTGACAGTGGGAGGCCTTGAGTTCAAGCCCCAGTTCTGGTACACACAAAAAGAAAAGAGAAAAGGAAAGGAAAGGAAAAAAAGAAAAGAAAAGATAAAAGAAAAGAAAAGAGGGCTGGGAATGTGGCTCAGGGGTAGAGTGCTTGCCTAGTATATATGAAGCCCTAGGTTTGATTCCTCAGTACCACATAAACAGAAAAAGCCAGAAGTGGTGCTGTGGCTCAAGTGGTGGAGTGCTAGCCTTCAGCAAAAAGAAGCTCAGTGACAGTGCCCAGGCCCTGAGTTTAAATGACTGGAGAAAAAGAAAAAGAAAGACAGACAGAGATAGGGGGTGAAGAAAAAAAGAAAGAAAAAAGGAAAGAAAGAGAGAGAAAAAGAGAAAGAGAGAGAGAGAGAAAGAAAGAAAGAAAGAGAGAAAGAAAGAAAGAGAGAGAGAGAGGGAGGGAGGGAGGGAGGGAGGGAAGGAGAAAGGAAAGAAGGAAGGAAGACAAGATGAGAGAAGGTGGAGAGAAAAAAAGAAAGAAAATATGAGAGAGGGTGGAGAGAAAATAAAAGAGAAAGGAAAGAATGGAGGAGGGGAAGGAGGGGAGAAAAAAAGAAAGCAAGCAAGTAGGTTTTGCTATCTCTATATCCCTGTCCAAAATGTTTCTGCAGCATCTATCCACATGCACTTGTAAGAAGCAGGTCCACACATAGCTAGCAAGATCAACAGAAAGCCCACAGATTGGGAGAAGATCTTCACTAGCCATACAATGGACAAGGGTCTCATATCTAAAATATACTTGGAACTCAAAAAATTAAATCCCCCAACAACAAATCC